CAGTACGATGTAGAGGGAACTATGTGTTCGTAGCAGAGATGACAGGCCAAGGTGGACAAGAACCCCCCAGAGTCCCAAGCCAGACTCGAATCCATGATCTATGACATGTGACCTGAAGACTCTACCATTTGAGCAACAATCGCAAACGGCACCTGTGTGTGATATGCCAGACTGGGGAGATCAACAGAACAACCACGAGCAACAGCGACAAGCAACCCATGCAGTATCAAGACCCGACATACAACACCATGGACAACCTTTTTTTTTTTTTTTTTTCAAGCCCAGGGTGTTGTAGAGGCCAAGGACCAGACCCGTGGTGATTGCTGGTAGCGTCAGCCATTGGTTGTCCTGACAGGATAGGCCACGTACCCTACCCATCCCCACGTTAATACTCCCAGCACACCCCCTGTCCCTACTATCCTACCTCAGTGTGGCCAGCACTCAGGACCATCACCCTACAAGCATTGAGGGCAGATTGGACCAGACAGCAGTGACAAGCACCAGGGCTGGCCCAACCTTCCAGCCCTAATGGAAGCGGAATCGGACGAACCTTGCCGGATGCTGGTCAGATGCCTTTAGGGTTTCAAAACATGCTGCGTCTACCTTTATTTAAAAAAAAATAATCTGCAGTCACTTTCCACACATGCTGGCCCGATATATTCCTCAAGGCTGGTGTTACTCCCTCCTCTGAGGGCCTTTGGGAACAAATGAAGAACAAAAAAACAAGAACTTCCCTTATGCCGTGATTGCGGTCCTATACAGGACACTAGCGTACCTGTCTGAGTATAACTGATACCACGCTCGGGCGTGGGGGCGCAGCCAGGACGGCGGCGGACCGGTGACCAGCCCACGAGAGCTTCGCTGCACTTTTGTTGTCGACCTGTGAAAAACAAACATCCCAAAACGCCACGATAACTGCCAGGTACATTCAATGAGGTGCTAGTGTGACTGTGCCCTCAGTGAGGGCGTGTAGGGGACAAATAACACGGGAGAAAAAAAAAGGAAAAAAAGGCCCCTTATGCTGTGATTGAGAGCGGATACAGGACGCAGCCAACAACGCAGCCATTCCTTTTACACGAGAGAAAAAAAAAGAAAAAAAAGGCCCCTTATGCTGTGATTGAGGGCGGATACAGGACGCAGCCAACAACACAGCCATTCCTGGCTGCGAACTGCCACTCCGAGTTCCACCATGCAGCCGGATCTACCCGCAGTAAGACACACAATGGCAGCCAGGTGCAGCCGGCTGCCCCTCAGCGCACTGCAGACCCGAATCAAGAAAGCCTGACACGCGCTGCACACCTGTCCACCTTCACAGGTTAGATTCAAGAAAGCCTGAAACGCGCTGTGCACCTGTCCGCCTTCACAGGTAAGATACACACAATACAAAAAAAAAAAAAAAAA